ACAGACCTGAAAAATGCTCTTCCACTCTGTAAGAAACCGCTTGGTTTGGGGGAGGAGGCTAATCCTCTTGGAGGGAGTGGACAGTAAAGAGAGGACGAGGAGGTGTAGCACATCAAGGACACCTACAGAATTGCTCGGAAGGGAGCTCTGTACCCAAAGATGCCACTAAAAACTGGTGCATTCCCACCACTGAATAAGACAACTTCACATCAGAGTCAGGCACTATAGCATGGAGCTGACCCAGAGAAGGTCTCTGCAACCCTCCCCTTTTCTGCTCCTTTCTGTTGTGGGATATTTGGGTGATATGTAGTGCCCCCACTTTCCCCTAGCACAGAATTTACCACCCCACCCCATTGCATTATCATTGTCTGCTTGTCTGTTCCTCACTAGACTGTGAGCTCTCTGAAGACGAGGGCTATTTATCTGGTTCCCTGTTAAACCCCAGGCATCTTGCATAGTGCCTGACACCTAAAGGGGGCTCAATAAATATGTTTAAATCATTCGAACTTTAATTACAGCAGCAACTACAAAGCAGTGGTAAGGGAAAAGTCTGTGTCAAATCCAGAGTTTCTCAGCCCTTCACTGAAAGCGTGATGTATGTGCATATTTCGTAGATGCTAATTGTTGACAACATGATTCGGTGGCTCAACAAATTGGAATTGACACCATCAACCTGCTCAATCCACTTACAATCTTTCATCATCAATGTAGGGGACTTCAACTGAGCATGGCCAGCTTCCCTTGCAAGGCCAGCAGCTTGCTTCCTATTAGTGATGAGCATTACAAGTAAATAGATTGACTTAGTGCATTAAATTGCATCCAACAGCCCAGCAAAAATCATAAGCTAATGTAGAAAAATAAAAAAGTAAGGAGAGGACAAACTCAAGTCAACGCACATTTACTGAGCAGAAGTTTCACTAACTAGTTTCTCTACCACCAGCCTTCCTGCATCCCACCCTCCACAGAGCACCCAAAAGGCCAGTCAGCTCACATCACCTCCCTATTTAAAAGTCTTTAGTAGTTTCTCCATTCTCTTATTATGTCATCCCAGATGCTCTGGAATCTGAGCCTTACCTACTTCTCTAGCCCAAAACTTCTCCCCTCTCCTCACTTCCCACTGTACTACACACACGCGCACACACACACACATGCACACTACACTCCAAGAGTATCACAGTACCCTGAATGACTGTAGAGTCTCTTCCAACAGGATCTTAGCAAATGCCCCCTCTTCCCATCTTTCTGGAACACTTTCTCTGCCCTTTCACCTACCTAATTCCTTCAAGATTTAGCTCAACTGTTTAATGGCAACAGGCAGCCTTCCCTGATGTAATAGGTTGAATGATGCTCCCTCAAAAATGTACATTCACATCATAGCCCCCAGAACCTGTTCATGTGATCTTATTTGGAAACAGGGTCTTGCAGATATAAGTTAAAGATCTCAAGATGATGTCATCCTGGATTATCTAGGTGGACCCTAAATCCAATGATAACTGCCCTTATAAGAGACACACAGAAGAGAGAGACACAAGGATTAAGAGGAAAGGCTCCATGTGGAGGCAGAGGCAGGCATGGGAATGATGTAGCCCCAAGCCAAGGAACACCTAGAGCCACAAGAAGCTGCAAGAGGTGAGGAAGGATTCTCCCCTAGTGTTTTCAAAGGGAGGATGACCCTGCTGACACCTTGACTTCAGACATCTGGCCTCCAGACTTGAGAGACAATAAATTTCATTGTTTTAAGCTCCCGGTTTGTAACAAATGGTTATAGCGGCCCGAAGGAAACTAATACATCTGAACTCCCCTCAGGTGCTCCCTGTCAGCACTACCCCAACCCTGTGCACACTTCTATCTTTGCCTTTTCATGTGGTTTTGCAATTGCTCTGTGACTTTGTTGCCTTGTACACTAGACCCTAAGCCCCTGGAAGGTGGGGATTTTATCTCTCTGACCTTCTGCCAAGTTTCAGAATCTCCTTGAAGAGGGCACAGGGCTATCAGCAGGGTAAGAGCAAACTGACAAAGAGTCAAACCTGTTCTTTAAAATCTTTAAATCTCCCATAAATGTCTTCTGAGGACAAGCCTATCATTTCCTCTCACATCCCCTTACTCAAGTCTTCTCTTGGCACTCAACTTAATTCCTCCATTTATCAATAAAGCCACCACCATCCACTTAGGTGGTCACCTGAATCATGCATCTCCCTTCTTTGTCAAAGGATGACAAGCCCTGAAAATTATTCAAAAATAATTTCCATGGGTTTCAAGCCTGAATTCACTGTTTCAAGCTTGAACGTATCTATTGCCTGTGGGCCCACTTTCATTGGGTGGAGTGGTGGACTAACCATGGCATCTAAATGATTGTTCTCTTTTTTTCATTGTACACCAGTATGTAGGCATACACCATAACCCCTAGCTGAAGTATTAAAGGAACAAATGGAATAATGATAAATGTGTATTTATCCCAACCTTTTGTTAAACCCCACAAAGGAAACATAGGTAAGTAAGGTTTAGTCCTTGGCTGCAAGGGGTTTATAATCTATGTGAACCTAGTAATAGCTGCTAACATTTGTTAATTCCCCACCAAATCTTTTTTTGTTTTTGATGAAGCACAATTATCTCAATATGAGCCATGAATTTTCCAAATGAAATTAGGTTTCACTTTACTTTGTTTATTAAAATAAATATATATCAATAACAGATCATGAAGTCCCTATTTATAAAGTGAGCTGGTTGGTGGAGGTAATGATAAATGAAAGAAAAGAAACAACAGGGACACTGCTGATGGGGAAGTAAAATGGTGCAATCGCTGTGGAAAACAGTCTGACAGTTACTCAAAATGTTAAACATAGAGTCACCATGTGGCCCAGCAATTCCACTCCTAGGTACATACCCAAAGGAATTGGAAACAGATGTTCAAACAAATAGTTGTACACAAATATTCACAGCAGCATCATTCACAACAGCCAAAAGGTAGACCTAATCCAAATGTCCATCAACTGATAAATGGATAAACAGCATGTGATATATCCATAAATGGAATATTATTCATCAGTAAAGAAGAATGAAGTATTGATACAAGCTACAACATGATGACACATAAAAATACCATGCTAAGTGAAAGAAGCCAGTCACAAAGTCCACATATTATATGATTCCATTTATTTGAAGTGTCCAAAATAGGCAAATCCACAGAATCAGAAAGTAGACGAGATGGACTGCAATCAGGGGTGGGGGGTGGGGTGAAGGGAAATTGGGTGTCAGTCAGTTTGGGCTGCTATAATAAAAATACCATAGACCCAGTGGCTTCAAAATACAGACATTTATTTTTCCCAGTTCTAGAGACTGGATGTTCAAGATCAGGGTGCCAGCACGGTCTGGCTCTTAGTAAGGGCCCTCTTCCCCACTATATCCTCACATGGACCTCTTTGGTACATGTAAGCAGAGACAGAAAGTGAGTAAACAAGTTCTAGTCTCTTTCTCTTCTTATAAGGACACTAACACCCTCATGATCTCATCTAAACCTAAGAATCTTCCAAAGGCCCTACCTCCAAATACCATCACATCAGGGGTTAGGGTTGAATATGAATTTGGGAGGTAGAGGGGGACGACACAAACATTTAGTTCATAACATGGGAATGGGTATAGGACTTCTTTTTGGAGTAACAGAAATGTTCTAAAATTGATTGTGGCGATAGATGCATAACCCTGTGAATATACTAAAAGCCATTTAATTATATACTTTAAATGAGTGAATCATATAGTGTATGACATATGTTAACAAAGCTGTTACAAAGGAAGGAAGGAAAGAAGGGAGGGAGGGAGGGACAAAGAGAGGGAGGAACAAAGGGAGAAAGGAAGGAGAGAAACAATGGAGGAAGGGATCATAACCTCAAAAAGATCAGGAAATAATATATCCTAGAGAAAGATGTTATCCTGTGAGAGAGTCAAACCCTGTATCACCATTCAAAGCAGTTGTAGGAGGAAACTCATATCAAACTCAGGACAACAAGAGTTCCCATCTTCTTCTAAAAAGGCAATATGTGCTTATTATGTGGCAGAACTATTTTAAATGCTCTAGAACATTCAGCAAAATGTTAAACCTCCAGGACCCTATGCAGTAGGTAATTTAATTTCTGTTTTACAAATGAAAAAAATGAGGCACAGAGTAGTTAAGCTGCTTGTCCCTGATCACTACCTGGCCAATTATAGAAGCCAGACTTGACTCCAAAGCCCAGTGCTCAGTTGGGTAGACAAGATGCATCCATATGAAAAGACAAGGAGCATAATCTGAGGACTAAGAGAATGGCCAGGACAGTTGATATCTTCACAGTTCCCTGAAGGGTAAATGCTTCTGCAGAGAAGGCCTTGAAAGACTTGGTGGGGAAGGGAATTTCCAAACACCTGGACACCTAAAAAGGGGAACTGAGTTCCTGCATCTCTGAGCACTGGACAAACAGCAGAAGTAAAAGCGAAGTCCATCCAGGACGTGTGTGAACTCACAGAGGAGAGTTCCAAGTGGAAATCAAGGGCTTTGCCAACTGCATGAGCTAATGAATCTGGCTCTGGGTGTGCCAAGAAACATTCGGACAGGAAGATTCACATTTATTTTCAGATCTAGAACAAATTTGATTGGGCTACAAGATCTGTCTGGAATATAGTCTCTTTCTACTGCACACAACTATAATGTCCATGGTTTTTCAGTACGTGTACCATGTATCACTGGTTCTGCTTGATGCTAAGAAGAGATTGAGTACAGGAAAGACAGTTCCATGGTTAAGTAAGTTTTGTAAATGCTTAATAAAACAGAATTAAGGGGCTTTTTTTTTTCACTGAGGACTTTTCAGAGCCTCTATCACATGCACTGGGAATCTTCAAGAAGGTGCAATAGATTGCAAAGTTCACTAAATTACAGGATCAGAAACCAGACTCTCACAACATACAATGTGGTCTCACAGAACTCCTTTCAGTTTTTATAAACATGTATTCTCTCCTTTCTATGCCTTTGTCTACTCTTACTCCTCCTTCCCTATTACCTGCCAAACTCTTGTGTCATTTATTCTAGAAGTCTTCCCTGAACTCTCCAAACTGACTTAGGATCTCCGGCTTTATCTTCTCTAGGCATCTCCACTCCACTATCATGGCATCTGACATGCTTTATTGTTATTACCTACTTCATCTTCTGCTTTTCTTTTATGTGTCAGCTTGACTGGGCTAAGAGATGCCCAAATAGCTAGTAAAACATTATTTCTGGGTGTGTCTCTGATGGTCCTTTGGGAATATAAAATTAGCATCTGAATTGGTGGACTGAGTAAAGCAAATGCTACTCAGACATAAAAAAAGAATGAAATAATGCCATTTGTAGCAACATGGATGGACCTAGAGATGATTATTCTAAGTAAGCCAGAAAGAGAATGAAAAACTAAAAGTAGACTCTAAACCTATATTCCAGAAGCCACAATACATGGAGAAGACCATGTGAGCAGTATCAAGGGCCCAGGCTTCTACCCTCTGAGCAGACCCAGTGATGCCATGCAGGAGAGGGGTCTGGCTCCACAGGCCTCGCTTCATTCACTTGCTCCCTTGTGCTGGCAGTGAGCTGATCCCTTTCCAGTTGAGGCCCTCACATCATAGAGAGGAGCTATGGCTCCAACTGGATGAATCTGGGCAAATGATTACCACAAAAGCAGAATATGTAAGACTGAGATCACACAGGTGATCTATAGTTGATAGCTATGATGATATAATTCTCCCAGTCCCTGGGTTGGATGAGTGTATTAATCTGCTCAGGCTACCATAACAAAATACCATACACTGGATGTCTTGAACAACATAAATTTATTTCTCATGGTCCTAGAAGCTGGAAGTCCAAGATCAAGGCGCCAGCTGGTTTGGTAAGAGCTCTCTTCCTGGCTTGCAGACAGCTGTCTTCTGTCTGTGTCTTCACATGGTGGAGAGACAGCCAGAGATGGCAAGAGCATGTGAGAGAGACAGCACATATTCTGGTATCTGTTTCTATAAGGACTATAATCCTATAATATTAGGGACTCACTTACGATCTCATTTAACCTTAATTACCTCTTTTTGCCCCTATCTTCAAATATAGTCACAATGGGGTGGTTATGGCTTCAACATGTGAATTTAGGGGGACACAATCCAGCCCATAGCAGTGAGGAAGGGTGCGAAGGAGTTAAGTGATATTTATTGGGTGGGAAGAAAAGAAGTATTCTGACATCCTCAGTGATACAAACCACTTAATTTGATTGTACCAGACATAACTTCAAACCTAAGCAGTACTTCATAGGAAAACACACTGGAAAGATGGATGCCCAAACTAAATATTGATATTAGTGACCAAGGAAAGTAATCCAACCAATTAGGCAGAGAAACTTGCATTAGCTCTGAAGTCTTACCCAACACAGCATTATCTGCTCATGCATACATCGTTTTTATCAGTCTCATAACTCTGCCTCTCAGGGAAATATCTAAGTGCTACAATCACTACAAGGGGAACAGTTATATTCTAACCCAAAAAGGGATTATTTGTCTTATTCCATCCTAACTTCCTTTCCAAAAAGTATAAAACAGAGAAGCAAACATTCCCTCTTCAGTCCCTTCCTCTAACTCCATTCTCTTCAACAAACATTGAGAGAAGTGAGATCAGGTCTCCTACTATGACTCATTACTCAGACACCAAGGTGGCTTTCTTTTCCCTTCTGTTCCCTGAAACATGAGAGAAAGAGATAATGAAGGTGTTTCTTGCTTCTTTTTCTTTTTTTTCTCTTTCTGGCTCAGAGCGAGTACCGTAACTACCCTTAGCCTAGAATTATGATATTACAATGTCCTAGTCTCTAAAACATTACTGTTGATATTTTGCTCTTATTTCAATTTTTCTTTTATATACATAATTTTAGTATATACCTTAAATGATTTTTGAAGAAGAGTATCAGTAATAAGTATATGCAATTACGTATTGTAAACACATGCATATATGTATATATGCACATATAAAAGATTGTTTTATATGTATATTGTATATGTATACAATACACATTTGCATATAATAAAGAATACTATGCTTAATAATAATAGTTACTTTGACACAACATTGTAAAATGACTACAACTCAATAAAAAATGTTTAAAAAATAATAATAATTACTATTTATTGTGCACTTGCATGAGCCAGGCCTTCTGCTAGATGGTTTACCCCATCTCATTTAATCCCCACACAAGGCTATTCCTTGTCAGTAGATGAGGATGATTCACTAAGAGAGCCTCATCGCAAGTCTAAGTCAGAATTTCTAGGTCAGAGTCAGACTTCAGGAAGAAATTGGTTGTAGAAGGCAGAAAGAGACACTGAGCCCAGAAGTACTTGTTCATTCACCAGATGCTGAGGACAGGTAGAGATACTGGAGCAAGGTAAGAATCAGGTAGCCAGCTGGAGACACCATGTGGCCAGGGAGTAGGGACAGTGACTAACATCCATTTACTCTGCAACCATTTCCAAACATCTTCCAACACAAAGAGTTTAGGGATAGAGGATACTACAGCTCTCTAGTACATAAAGGAGAATGGAATACTGCAGGAAAACTGCTATACAGATCCAGGATCTCTTCAGCTTTGGAGGAAATAATTAGTAGGGGATCAAAGAATTCACTGACTATGGATTTAAGTGCCCAATATTCGATAGGTCCTCTGCTCATAAATGAGATATAAAGATGAATGAAACACTGCCATATCACTGCTCACCATCTAGCAAGGATAGAATAAGCACAAGAGGAGACTTTCTGGAGAAAGAGGACAACAAAAGTCAGCCTTATGCTCTCATGTTTATAACAAATTTATTCACAACAGCCGGAAGGTGGATGCGACCCAAGTGTTCTGCTGACAGATGAATGAATAAGCAAAATGTGATACATATATACAATGGATGGACTATTATTCAGCCATAAAATGGAGGGAAATTCTGACACGTGTTACAGCATGAATGAACTTTGAGGACATTAGGCCAAGTAAAATAAGCCAGTCACAAAAAAGCAAATACTATTTAGCTATACTTATGTGTGGTAACTAGAGTAGTCAAATTCATAGAAACAGAAAGTAGAATTGTGGTTGCTAGGTTTTAAGGGAAGGGGGACAAGGAGCATTATTATTCAATGGGTAATTTCAGTCTGAGGAGATGAAGAGTTCTGCAGATAGAAAGTGGTGATGGTAGCGCAGCAATGTGAATGTACTTAAAGCCACCGAACTGTACGTTTAAAAATGGTTAAGATGGTAAATTTTATGTTATGTGTATTTTATCACAATTTTTTTTATTTAAAAATTCTTTAAAAGTAAGCCTTAGTGATCAGGACATATCTTGACTTGTTGAAGACAGAACCAGGCAGACATAAATGAAAGCCAAAATTAATAATGATCACAAGTATAAGCAAAGAGTCAAGAATCAAGAGATCTGAGGGTACCTGGCAACCACTTGGAACAATACAACCTTAATGCCCACAGAAGCTCCATAGTTTAGACTGAGTTTTATGTGGTATCTGTGGAAGAAGAAATGGTATCAGGTTTGGCCTTGCTAAAGAAAAGCTAAGAAAAGAAAATATTAGTTTAGATACAAGGAAGCAACAATATCCAGGCCACCTCATATATGGTGGTCACCTGGGAATCACGGGGTCCTGCCCAAATCTTCCTTTGTCTCTTTGCACCAACCACCCTAAGACTGGTATTTCAGGTTACTCTCAAGAAGGTGCCATAACCCACCATATTATTTAGCAGGAGTATGCAGAAAGCATAAGCAGAAAGTAGAGAAGCTCCCTACCTATTCATTCATGGTTCATGGGAAATTCCTAATATCTGCCTAAGTTATCAGGACTCAATTTTCAGGGGTTTGTAAAATGGGAGCCCTGTTAGGGTTCCCCTCAAAACAGAGCCTAAGACAGGATGGGTGCAGCTAGTTTATTTTGGAAGTGATCTCAAGTGATTGAAGCAAGTTAGGAACCCAGGAAAGTAAGAAAAGCAGGGAGGAAAAGACCAAAAAAGGTGCATAATTGGGGTTCCAGCTCTTGGTCAAAGGGCTCAATTCCTCTAGGAGCTCCAGAGATAAACGCAGGATGCCTCCCAGCACTACCCACCTGAAGGACAAAGGCGGGGGCATTCATCCACAGGCTTCGATTGTTTATTGGTTAAGACTGACCTCATGTACATCAACTCCTTGACATTTCCAGGGTGTTTTCAGAAGCCAACCATATGGTGGTAGCTCAGGAAGGTCCTGAGGGCAGAACACAGAAAGGAATTCTGTACTTCTAACACCTCAGATACGATGCTTTCTGGTGAATCTGAGCTTCATAGAATTGTCCTCCACAGCTGTGGCTGAAATCAGAAATGGGTATTATATATAGGACACCAAAAGTATCTGTTCTGTGGAGCTTTGGCATCCTAGGAAACTCAGAGAAGAAGGGTTGCCACTGAAAATTCCACATGCCTATTTCTTTTTGTGATATCTGGAATTATTGTGCCCCTCCTCCCACATACACCAAAGAATATGAGCTTTTCTTGTTGTTTTGGTTGGTACTTGGTCCCTCTCTTGTGTCCAAATGATTACCAAACTATACAGATTATATATACAACAGAAGATAAATATTTCACAATAAGAAAGAGCAGATCACCTCCAGGAAACAATTTTAATAATTTTATAAATGTAGATATACTGGAAAGATAAGAATATAATATTGCTTCATCCTGGAGTAATTTTGTCTCCAGACTGGTAATGCTTTCAGAGAGATCCAGAATAATCCCCAAATTCTGACCAAAACTACCCAAACAAACCAGCTATGATAGCCAAGGAGATGCACCCAGAGCTCCTTTCAAGGGAAAGTCACAAGGAGTTCAGGTAGCTGAAAGCCTCCAGCCTTAGGCTGCCCCTCAGTGTTCAAGCCAAGGCCAAAGCCTGCTTGGGCAGCTCCTAGTCAATGATTGCACACAACACAGTGGAGAGTAGAGCCCAACAGTTTCTGTCTGAGATGATCCTCTAATGGGTAATCTTTATTCTGAAGCTCCCCATCTGCACAGCTGAGACTTTCTCATATTTACTCTACTAGCTGAGGCTCTTCCTACCCAATCCTCTTTCCATCCCCTTCTCCTTCTGCAAGTGTCAGAATTTCACTGTGGCCCAAAGGCCTTTCAGATGACAAAACTGACCCTGAGAGATGCAGTATACCCTGCCCAGTCTCTCTCAGCAAATCCATGCTAGAGTTGGAAGCAGCATGCATAAATCTCTGAGCTCCTAGCACAGCGCTCCACCCAGTCACACAACGAAACATCATACTTGTAGACATATCAGTTGTCTCAGTAGGTGCTCAGACAGCCAATTATAAGTCTTCACATCTCCATTTGTGGTACTATAAAATTGAGAAGACACTTGCTTCACGCCAGCTCTCAGGGATTAGGTGAAGAGGAATAAAATATTTCTGGTAGCTGGAAGAAAAGCCATAAATACAGAACTGTGCAGTCAGCTTTCACTTATTGGGGCAAGTGGATGGGTGCACTGGTGCAGAAACACAGCCTAGGGCTTCTATGACTGCATCCAAACATCGAAAACAGAAAGATGGGGCTCAGGGAGCTAAGAGGGAGCCCCAGAGTAACCCAGCTGAGCCAGGTCAGTCTGGGTCAGTACTCTAAATATGTGCTTTTCCAAATCAAAAAAGAGCATAAGGAAGCTGTCCATAGGTAAATGGCTTTTAAGCATATGAAGAGATAGATGTTTGTCGAGCTCACTCAAAATTACAACAAAACAAACTTTAACAATGAGATAGTATTATGAATTCAAATTAATAAAGTCTAGTTGCAGCATTGGTGGATGTGTGTAGAAAAACTCTATTAGTGCCATTGTAAATTGTTGAAATTTGTCCAGGGGGCAATTCAGCAATTTCTACTAAAGTGTGAAGTGCAGTACAGCTGGACCCAGGCATCGTGCTTCTAAGACTTCATGATATAGATCTACTTGCACAAATACACAAATGCACAGGAATGTTCACTGAATCATAACTTGAAGTAGCCAGTCACTGGAAATAAACTAAATGTCCACCATTACAAAAAAGGTTAAACAAAGTATAGTTAGTATGCAATGTTGGGCACTAGAACACAATGTAGCTGTGATAGAGAATGACAAAGTCTAATGGGATGATATGGAATAGTCACTAAACTTTACAGTTAGCAGAAAGGAAAATGGAGAATTGGGTTATCATTTGTTTATAAATAAATATCTGCATACAAATTTACATATATAAATATATACATATGTACATATATGCATATGCATATGCTTATATATGCCAAGAATACTTTGGGAAGAAAACATAAGAAATTGGTTAAAAGTAGCTACTATTCTAAGAGACTGACGGTGGGAAGGAAACATAGTTTTCATTGTATAACTTTTATACTTCATATTTTTACCATGTCTTTGTCTTACTCAT